GTTTTTTTAAATTCTCTAAATAAAGGGGAGTGAACACAGAAAAAGTTATTGATCTGGCTGATCTAACCCAGCACCTTCATCTTCAAAAGCCTGGTTACGCTGCAGCAGGTAAACCCAGTATTTCCAACACATTTTGGGTTGCCCGTCCCACATCCACACCCTAAAAAAGAAATCTCTTCCCAAAGCCTCATTTAAATATTTGACCTCCATGTTTTCAGGTGACAGTGCCATTGATTTAGCGAGAAGGAGATAGCTCAGCCCCATCGACCTTCCGGGAAAAGGCATAAACCCACCACGTTGGGCACTTGTGTCTGCTTGACTTTGACAAGAGGAGCTGGAGGGCTGGAAAAATGACGTTGCCATGTCACGGACTCAAAGCCACGCCTGCCAAAAATCAGAGTGGATGGTTTCAATGCTTCCATTTATTTACATGGAAATTTGCAGTATCGAAACTTATCTGGAAAACGAATGGGAGAGAAGCAGTCTTTGCTTTGGGGCGAGATCGGGTTTGACATTCATTTGTCTCACTTTTGCCTGAAGTAAAGCATCACGAGATCCACCGTAAATTACTGTGCTGCCGTATACACATCCCCTTTCCTTAAGGAACTAGAAGCTCAGAACAGAGAATAAATTTAAGATTCTCTTCTGTACTTGGCTTCTTCAACAAATAGTAGGAGCAAAATGAACTTACACCACCGTGCGGGATCAAAATAAAACGGATCCTCAGGTTACTCAAACGTCGTTAGGTTCCCCAGCTTCTGCAGAGCTGCCGCAACGTCCCCCCACTGCTCATCTACTGGTTTATAATAGCGGATAATCTCTCTTTTGGAAGTTCTTTTCAATGAGTGTATATCAACAGGGTGCGTCACTGGCTTTGCCTTTCGACATCAGCAAGAAGCCGGAGCTGCTTTTGTAAATGTTTCAGGACTGGGGCGTTTGTGCAAGAGCAGCTGAAGCAGCGCTCACAGCGAAAAAGTTTCTCATTTTTCACGCTTTCATCGCGGTGTCGAGCCACTTTATGGTGATGAAGGCTTCCTTCTTAATACCACTCTCTACCTAAGCGATTCACACGCAACAGCACGATCCACGCCTGCTTTATTCAGTACTTCCTATGACCTTGATCTCCGAAGAACCATTTTGCTACAGGAATTCATGCAGCAGAGGCAGAAGTAAAACTCATTTGACCAAGATGCACGGTGCTTACAATCCTTCATTCTTGTCAAAGAGACCCAGGTGATTTTATAAGCCACTTGTCTCATGCGGCCTTACCTTTGATGTAGCTTTTCTTCCGCAGCGGCAAACAAAACTAGCGCGAAAAAAAAAAAAAAATGCTTCTTATTAAAAACTCCCTAGTAAAAGGCATTTGCATTGAAAAAAAAAAAAAAAAAAAAAAGCTTCCAAACCGCAGACAAGTTGTTTGTAGCTTATACATATGGATGCTTGGTAAAAGTTAGCAGCGGTGTTTTTCTGCAAATGCTGTCTTTCAGATCGAGCGGTGGCTTTTTTTTTTTTTTTTTTTTCCTAAAAGTATCTCAAGTCAGCATTCCGGCGCCAACACTACTGGAAAACTGTTCCCTTCTCTGTTTCTCCTTAAAGGAACTTTTTAGGAAAAGAGAGTTAAAAAGATGTATTTAGTAAAGAAAATTTGAAAATGTGTCACCTCGATCTTAATCCATTTAAGAACAGCTGCTTGATTTAAAGGCACTGCTAGCGTAATTCTAACGAGACGCATTAATATGCAAAGGGTAGTTGACAACTTTCTGAGGATACGATGCTCTTCCCCTACTCTATCACTTCAATTATGGTTTGCTCTTTGACACAATTAAGGGACAATCCAAAGACAAAACGGGGAGAAAAAGAAATTATGCAAAACAGCACATCAGAAAATCCGTCGATTCAGTTATAAACACCAACAGAAAATGGGATTTCTAGATTTAGATCTCTCCCAGGACGGTAAATCCCAGGCATTTACCCGCTGTCAAATCAGGCTGCAAACCGACTGAGCTCCCACAAGTAGCTACGTGATACGGAAGACTTTTTTTTTTTTTTTTTTTTTTTTTTTTTGTTATTTTCAGAAGGGAATTTTCATTTAGGGAATTGGGGTACGGGGTTTCTATGCTACAACAGCCAGACTTCCAGTCTCGCTTAACAAAACACGAAACGGAAAAGTCGTATTAAAAATAAAAATCCCTCAAGAGGCCAAATGGCAACAAGCCCAAAAGACACTTCGGAAAGCTAAAAAATATGTCGAATATAATTGTCGTTGACCCTGGTTAACACATTTAATCATCTTCAAACATTGGTTTAAACATTAAAGCTCTCTAAAGCTACCGAGCAGGCGGATGATTCGTACAGCATCTCGGTAATCCAGATCTTTTCATTTTCGTCACACAGGGAGATGTGGCAAAAATACTGCTCAAAGGCCACGATAAAAAAAAATAAAAAAAAATAAAATCGAGCAAAAGATATCATCTCTTCTCGCAAATTCATTCACCTCTTGCAATTTTAGGCCTAGGTCCGACGTCGAAAGGGTTATTTTTAGCTCTTAAAGCGAACAAATAGGAACTCCGTTGTGAAACGCTCCGTCTCTTGCAAATAGCCTCATTATTCAAAAGATCAAAAGCACCTTGCTACCATGTGATGTAACTAACTTTGATCTGACGTTGTCTACTCAGACTTCAGAGGAGCTAATTATTGGACTGTTAACTTTTTTTTGCACTCTGACTGCAAATATCTCATTGATCCCTCTTCCCGCTACAGCTACATTAACAATTAAAGGTTTACATCAGTATTAAAAAAAAAAAAAAAAAAAAAAAAAAAAAAAAAAAAAAAAAAAAAGTCTTGCAACAAAATACCGATGGGTAATTTACAGTATGTTAAATAAACAAGCGTATTCACTCTAAGGTGACACACACAAATATCTGCGTTGGTATCGAGCCCCAGTAGAAAATAAAACTAATTATTCTGTTTATGAAATATGAGGATTAACAGGAGAAACTTCAGCGCGTTTTGAGAGTTTCCTACTGGTAAGGATGGATCCAATAAATCAGCAGATTCTGAGAAAATCTGTAGCCCGGGTGCATTGCTCTGGAAAGAGGTCTCAGGGGATTGCTGTCAACATCTCTCCAGTTTAGTCATGTAATTTCCTTTGTACATTTTCTTTTCTTAACACAAATATATACATGACCACGACGCTGCATTTTCAGTTCAGTCTGGCACCAAGGAGTGACCTACTCGGGAAACTAAGAAACGTGCAGCAACACCGTGCCAAATGTACAGCTCTTTTTTTTTTTTTTTCCCCTTAATTTGTTCTCTGAGAATCCCGCATGCGAACAGAAACTTTACCGCGGAAATCTTTGATCTACCGACAGGGTGAACACAATTGCGCCGTGCTATGGCAACGGAGTTTTGGCTTCCCCTTGCGTCAGCAACTGAGGCATCTTTCATCTCCGTGTCGGTCTCGTTTCACTTAGCGCTCCCTTGGCATTCTGTCTTCTTCTAGGGGAGATTTTCATCATCTCGTATCCATCCTTACAGCCGTGTCATATTGCTGACACGTACCCCTCAAGGTGCATGAAAATTTATGTACCTTTAATTTCTACATGACACACTTACAGCAGAAGGCATAATGAAGCCCGAACTAGATGCATTATAGACTGAATGCAGACAGGAATAAATTCTTCCAAAGGTAACATAAAGGATTTCGATGCAAAACTCCTATTAATTTTCACAGGAACTGCACGGTCAGAAATAATCTACCCAACCATCCTCAAGCCACAGTGGCTGCTACCAACAGATATTGCAATCTTTTGTTGGGTAGAAATATCGGTGTCATTTATTTCTCTTTCTCAAACAACAATTAATCTCCTGCCACACACTAGATTTGAAATCAACACATTCCAGTAAGGCAAATAAAGTCCACTTTAGCCCAACGACTTACCTGCCTTTTCAACAGTTGATTCCTTCTAATGAAAATAACTCCGTGACAAATGAACCTCCGCAATTATAAAGCCACATTTTTTATTTTTTATCCAGTAAAACAATGTATTCCATTAACGTGCCGAAAGAAATAAAACTGTACCCTCCATCACCGCTAATTATTATATTCTATTATGGCTTGATAAAAGCGTATTGTTCTATAAGCACTGACTATCCCATAATCCAAATTAAGGCTCTATTCACTAATGAAAGTATTTTTCACCCGTAAGCTTTAAAGCCCGAATGCAAAGTGAACAGCACATTGAAATCTGTTATTGTTTGACTAAGTATGAACTGTCGTTCCTTAGATCTGACTGAATAACGCTAATGTACTCCGTTATTGTTCAACGGTTTAAACAAAGAAAAAAGAAAGAAAGAAAAAAAAAAAAAAAGAGGCAGCTATTAGATTTAAACATATTTCAGATTCCATTAATATTTGCCATGAGGAAGGAGCGCGGGGGAAAGCAGGTTTGTCAGGAGGGAGCTTTCGTAAGATTTAACAGTGGGAACCCTCTGAGCATCATGACCGAGTGAGAATTTCCACAGATTTACTTGGATTTCTCTTAATTTGGTGAGAAGATGCTAAATACCTGGATTTTTCTGATCTTACTGTTCATGACATCCAAAGAAAAAAAGCTGCCACAAACCTGATGTACGACTCACACTGTGCGTGACATCACGCACAACAGGGACATCCCTCTCAATGTTAAAAAAAAAAAAAAAAAAAAAAAGAAGAAAAAAGCTTCAGGAAGGAGAAATTAAGGACTACGTAGAGAAGACAGTAGCAATTAGCATCTGATACCACAAGATGTTTGGGAACAGCAAAGCTACCAAGCACGGTGGGAGATACTCAAAGATTTACAGGACTTGATTTCCACGGGTGCCAATAACGGATCAAAGCAGGGAAGGGACTTGGTGAGTTGGCAGTTCTTTGGGGTTCTGGAAAATTCAGTGTGAAAAAAGGAAATAATCAAAAAGAAACAGTCATGGCAAAGCGAAGTGGGTGTAGTGCGTGTACTCACCCATCACCGACAGCTCTGCAGAACCGCTGCTGTTCTCGTTTTTGTAGGTGACTACGCACGTGTACGTCCCAGAGTCGTCGTCGGTCACGTTGGTGATGAGTAGGTTGCTGCCAGCAAGTAACGAATATTTTCTGGACCTGAAACATTGACAAAACATGCCCACAGCCCATTAAGGTGTTATCTCTCTCCCTAGAAAAATACGCGCAGTAAATTATGCCGTAAGTAGTCCTCAGCTGTGATTTGTGCTGTTAACAGCTCTACGCTTCCATTTTAAATACCAGCCAGGTGACATTTATAGCAAATTCCAGCCTCGGATTTGGTGCAGAGAATAAGTAGAGCGGCAGGTGAAAGGACACTTCCAGTCTCATTATTATTTAGGAGGAAAAAAATCTCACGGCCTCCAAACCCCACCCCATGGAATTTAAAGCATGCTTTGCCTGTACTTTGCTCAAGGAAATGCGGTGCCGGATACGTGACCCGCGAAGGACTGAGCTACCTGATGGGGAGAACTTCATCGCCTCGCAGCCACGTGAAGGTGGGAGGGGGGTACCCAGAAACGCAGCACTCCAGCACAGCATCCTTCCCTTCCATGGCCACCACGTTCGAGGGTCGCTGGAGGAAAAACTGCTGCCTGTGCAAACCTGGATCTAAGAGAGCAAAAAAAGACCGTTATCATCCCTAAGAAAAAAACAAACAAACAAACAAACAAAAAAAAACCCCACAACACACAACTCCACAACATTCTTTTTGTTGGGAATGGGGAATATAAAACGCCTGATCAATAACAGACCCAAGAGACTCCAGCTTTCACAGATTCTTACGGACAGAAAAAAAAATAAAAAAGAGAAAAATCATAGAAGAGACAGACAAAAAGTGTATCAAATGGCAATCTTAGAGCTGCTTACAGGTTGAACCCAAGGGAGCAATTTGAAGGCAGAAAAAAATACCAGCTTTTGGGAAAGTGAGAAAGGACTGTTTATAGCCTGGTATTCGAGTCAGGTCGTGGAAAGCCACAGGAAAAGGCACCGTCGTGGCAAAAAGAGACAGAGACGTACGTAAGGTGAAGAGTGAAGAGAGGGATTAATGACCCTATTTTTGGAATTGCAAGGGGGAATTCATAAATCCGGCAGGTGAGAAGACAAGGCAAGCTTCGAGTTAGGAAAACACCGAATGAAAAAGGAAATAAACTGAAAAATCTGAATAGAGAAGGAATAAGTAGAAAGGTTTGTGCCCCAAATTCTCCTCTGCCTGAGTGAAGGTGTCAGCAGGAACACGCGGCATGTCGGAGGCTGGCTCAGTCCTAGAGACCTACCTGCGGGCAACTGAGCTGAGCTCAGGCCACCTGATTTAGGATGAACTAAATCCCTGCCTCTGACTGCCATGGATGGGTCACAGGTGACCAGGGGCCAACCTAGGCCCACGTCTCACCCACTGGGCCTGAAACGCCATCAAACAGAACCGCACGCCAAGGAAATCGGTTGGGTTTGCTTCTTTTCTAAATGAGCCTGCGCCTTCTCAAGAAAATTAAGTCATTTTCTTATCACAGATGTTGAAACAAATGTGCTGGACTACAGCCATTAAACATTACTCCTTGTTTCCTGACACAAACATCAGAAAAATCACACAATATAAATGAAAATTCCCAGCAAATTAACAACTCCAAGATCTGCCAGGATCACCTCCAAGTAATTAACTGGTTCTCCTATACAAGCAGGAAGAAACCGTAACTAGCTGCGTGCAGTTGTGACGGATTTACAACAGCGTATTTCAACTTCTTGTCGTGACCAGATGGACGTACAACTTCCAACCTTCAGTCCTTCAACCGCTGCAGAAATTATCACACGAAACTCAAGAGCTTCAGTCTCTGAAGGCAGCTTAGGTGGTCACACAGATGCCTTGGGCCCGTGAATCACACGGTGTCTCTTGCAATCGCCATAAATACACGTATTAATTTAACGTAGGCAATTAAACACGTGGTCGTTAACTAGCAGAAAACCAGAGATTTTCTCATTAGTTTTATTTTTTTTTTTTTTAAATCAATTATCCGAAGATTAAAACAGATGTGCAAAAACTGAAAGGAAAAGAAAAAAAAAAAAAACAAACTGTAAACAGCATCCCAATCTTAACGCAGGGATGTCTCCTCCCCTTCCAACGCACTTAATTCTGGAACCATAAAGAGGTCACCTGATTAAAATAATGATCCTACTTAGGATGGAAGATGTGAGCGGCAATTAAGAACAGCAATAAAAAAAATATAGGGAAAGTGACATCAATGAAGATTAAATTCGAAGCTAGAAAAGGGAGATGATTGATAATTGAAAGCATCAGCTTTAGTAGAATACGTTTGTCTGAGAGGGTTCTTCAGGTACACCTGGGATAAACAGAATTCCAGGCTGGATGTGAGAGAAAGCTGAAAAATCCTAAAGTACTTAAGTAGTAGCTCGATATATATTGCTGTTCTGTACTTGGGGGGAAAAAAAAATAAAAAAATATTAGCACATTCCCATTTTAGTGATGTGAAATAGATCATTCCTAGTCTCCAATACCACAAAAATGTTGAGACATCACTATCGCCTTAACTCCTCCACTGAAAAGAATGTTTTCCTTAGAACTCTGTCAGCAATCTGAAGATCTGTTCGTAACTGCTATAGATTCCAGCACCACCTTACTACAACCAAAAGGAAACAGAAAACTCTTTCATTTGGGCTTTTCCCTCTCTCCTGTAATCTGCCTGGCAAACTTCTGGATGTTCCCAAATGACATCGCTGCGCGAGCAGCCCGCTGAACGCAAAGCTGCTGGCGTTAAAAGGATGAAGGCGGAGAGCTTGACCAAGCTTAAGGTTAAACTACGAGGGTACAAACAGGAGTAGCTGCTGAACACTGGAAGGGGAAGGTCGTCGTCCAACACCAAATGGGGACCCAAATCATCAGGCAATAATGGGAGATGACGGAGGGTAGACTCAAAGGCAGGCAAGTATTTCTTTTGTGATCTCTTACCCTAAAACTGTCAAAATACTTTAGGCTAAACTGTATTCAAATTAGGTCTGTATTTAACGAGTAGCTACGTATAATTTCAGCATGAGAATACACCACCACTACTACCCATCCCCGTAACGTATCACTTCTTTCATCCCAGGTAAAGCTTATGTTTATTAATCCTTGCTTTTTTTTTTTTTTTTCCTCTTGCTTAGCTCCTTTTTTCCCAGCATTTGTCCTCATTTAGAACAGCTCCTTTTCTCTCCAGCACCCAACTGTGCCTTGGCCTGGCTACTGCTTGCCTGCCCTGCAGGTGCCCGGAGGAGGGAGAGGACCCCGCGCTCCGCCACGGCACGGCTATCACCTGCTCTTCATCCTTTCCATCTCTTGTGCCATTCAAGACTCACAAACAGCAGCTTAAGCTTGAACTTTGCTGAACTCCCTAATGACATAGCTGCTAGCCGAAAAGGTGGCAACTTCTTTACATCCCTCTTTCATCCGGAAACGCGGCTCAAAAGCAGACGGAAACCAAATGTGTCAGTCGTGAAGCAACATTTTGCTGCTTGATTTCCAGTTGAATAGAGAGTGAGTCTTAAAGCCACGTAAAGAGTTGAAGAAAACGGCTGTTACAAGGAAGGGACAAAAAGAGAAAATATTCTTTTTAGAAAAAGAACAGGAGGGAAGAGAGTTGTGGTTTCTAATCTGTGAAGATCAGAACTTTGCACGTTATTCAGGGAAGTCCCAGGAGGTGGCAGCTACGGCCTCGGGTGTCAAGGGTGGAAAACTCAGCACCGACTGTACCGAGTACAGCCCAGGGAAATCACAACTGCGGTCAGTCCCTGTGTCCGTGTGGTGACTACTACCCGAGGAGTCGGGATAGAACAACTAACACATTTTGTTTAATCATCAAGAAGCAAAACTACTAATTTCACGTTAGGAAACGCTCGCTAGGAGGACTGACACGCTATCACAGGCTATGGGAATCGGCACATCACCACCTTGGGCTTTGTGCCACCTTCCAAAGACCAGAGGGGGTCTAAAACCAGAGCTCAGTACCCAGGACCCAAAAGGCAGTGGTATTTGAAGCTACAATTCCTTAACCATAACCTTCACAAGGAACCAAGGAGCCTCCAAGGACACCCTTTCCTTCGGGTGAGCATCCACAATTGCCTCTCGGAGATGTGCCTTGAACAAGGGGGTGATGTTGGTCATCAAGAAAATTCCTTGACCCAAAAGTCTGTGGGACAAGAGACTGCAAATCTCCGCAGTAGAGTGCTATACTAAGGGTGGTGCCGTTTCCTCCAACGTATGCTTGGCGGGGTAAAAAAATCAAATAAATTAAGATTTCTTAAAAAAAAAAAAAAAAAAAAAAAAAAAAAAAAT